TCTATATTGCATCATGTTATTTAAGTCATGGCAATTATGTTTGAAAAATAATATCGCCCAAATGTCCGCCAAATCTGAAAGAAAAAGAAAAAAAATCATTAGAGGCTTAAACTTAATTCATATTTAAAATCGGTCCAAGTTATTGGAACACCCTTTGCAAGTTTCATTAAAAACGACTGACAAGGTACTGCGGTTCAGTTGATTTATTTAATTTTTCTTCTGTTCTTTTCTGGACATAAATTATGTAGAAGTAGTCGAATCTTCTGCATGTCCGAGCGCATTCGTCTATACTTTTAGCCATTATCAAGGATAATTTTATCTTGAATTTTATCTGAATGTATGGATACTTTTATGTATGTATCTAGAGATATAGGAATGCTTTATTTTCCAAACACAGTCAACACTCCATATGCAACATACTCATTGATAATACAAATATAATAGCCTCATGCACATGTAAAAATAGGCTAAACATAATATAAACATTATTAATAAAAGAAAGCCAACACTCAGTAAAATCAACTATGAACATGGCCACAATATTCTGATATATATATATATATATATATATATATATATATATATATATATATATACATATATATATACAGACGTGTTGCATACTTCTAAAAGAGGGCACAGAATATTGTTTTCCATCCAGATAAGAAGAAAGCGTTAAATATAGATAACTATTCTCATGAGTCAATTTTGTACTGGTACAATGAGATATTAAACGGAAGATCGAATGAGGAAGGAATGATAATACTGATGATAATTATATATATATATATATATATATATATATATATATATATATATATATATAATTATATATATATATATATATATATATATATATATATATATATATATGTGTGTGTGTGTGTATAATGAAATATGTATGAATACATGTTATTTAATGAAATATGTATGAATATATATATATATATATATTTTTAGGATATTACTTCGAAAACATGCCATTGCAGTTGTGTTTCGATTAGTATCCTATATATATATATATATATATATATATGTATGTATGTATGTGTGTGTGTGATGAAAATGTAGTTATAAGTTATACTATATATGTGGGTTAAATTGTTAAATATCAGAGATAGAGCATATGTAAATATAAAATTTGTCTCTGAATTCAACACTCACTAGCGACAGTCTATTCTTTTGAAGATGGCTTTGAAGTATGAAACAGACTATCGCCGTTGCCTTTTGTCGTATATATATATATATATATATATATATATATATATATATATATGCGTGTGTGTATGTGTGAGAGAGAGCGAGAGAGACATGAAACTGAAGATCAAATGAGGAACGAATAATAATGATAATATATATGTGTGTGTGTGTGTGTTGTGTTTGTGTGTGAATTTGAACTCAATTCTCCGTGTGCTGACATCTCTTTTCCTCATATTGTATAGAATGGATCTAAGAGAGAAATAAGGAAAAGAGGAAGGAAGGAAGGAAGGAAGGAAGGAAGGAAGGGCTGGAGAGAGGGAATAGTTGAGAAAGTAAGAAGAAGCAAAGGAATAATCGTAGTTATTGAACATAAAGAAATAGTCCTCCAAAACTTCTGGCAATTGACCAATTCTCGTAGTCTTAATTACAGTGGCCAAGACGTGCGATTCCATTGGTTCCAGTTGGCGCCTTGACCATTCGATTTTTTTATTCTTATGTGATTGCATACTGCTTTCATATAGACCAGAGTCTCCTTGCCTTTTATACGTTTTTTTTTTTTTAAATATGTCTTACCATCACTGTATAAATCTCCATACTTAAAGCCAATCTCCTCGCCACGTTTATTTTTTTAGTTAAAAACTACCTATTCGCTAACATTTTTCTGTCTGGTTCTACCGCTGTGTTTGTGAGAATTGTATAGTCGACAGTGGTTTTTCCCGTAATAATCACACTAATATAAATATATACACACATTAAAGTTTACTTGGAAGCAAATGTTTGTCCAAAGGAGATAAAATAAAACGTAGCATACAATACGTAATTTCTTGTCCCTAAACAGAAGTGTGTAGAGTTGAATGCATAAGATTTAAAGTTTATCTAGATTAACAGTGTTTTTTTACAACTTGAGATTAACGTTATAATACTTTGTAGTCAGCAAAAGGGACAGCCCAAAGAGCCAGCAATATAATGGGAACGTCAAAATCAAGAAGGTACAAACATTCAACTAACTGTATATTGTGGTATTGCATGTTCGAATCCTGCCGGAGATGGCATATCTTTCTTTAATAAGATTTCTAGAGGATTCAGGCCGGTAGACATAAATAAATAAATATACTGTTTAATAAATAAAGCGAGCGTCTATTCAAATATGAGTGTCCACCTAATATAACTTTTAAAGTAATAAAAATATGTCGAATTAATAAAGACACCATTAATTCTTTAGAAAATGACCTTGTTTACATGTGGATTGAAAACTGAGAGGATATGATAATTTCGAGGAATCGATAACGAGAATGGTCTCGTTTAAAAACTCTGTTCAAAACTTGCTTGATGGGAAAAGCTTGGCCGAGACATTTATATCACATAGGAACGAACGACGGTCTGTCAAGAGGGAAGTAGTTTCAAATTTCGGCGTTGGGCGCCATTTTTTTAAAATCTTTAATATGATTTCTCGAATACACATATAAATAATAAATATATAATGATTTAAAATGAAATATAATAAATAAATACTATAAATAATTTAAAATAAATCTAAAATATAATAATTTAAAATAAATATATAATAAATACATTTTCCACACCGGAATATTTATTATTAATATGACTTATAGTTTTATATATATATATATATATATATATATATATATATATATATATATATATATATATATATATATAAAACCAGACCACTTTAAGGTTCCATTATAATAATTTATTTCACTAGAGCCCTTTTAAATATATATATATATATATATATATATATATATATATATATATATATATATATATATTATATATATATATATATATATAAAAAAAAACAGACCACTTTAAGGTGCCATTATAATAATTTATTTCACCAGAGCCCTTTCAAATATATATATATATATATATATATATATATATATATATATATATGAAGAAATATAGTTTTATGGTGTGCTATGGGATAACGTGCTCAATATCAGGGATAGAGTGTGGCCTGACTATTGCATCTAGCATGAAAACAAACTGCCACCTCTATGTTGAATTTATGTTCACTTATATATATATATATATATATATATATATATATATATATATATATATATATATATATAGTTGTGTGTTTTTGTGTATGTGTATGTAAAAAGGTATAAAATTTAGGTTATATACAAGCAAGGTTTAAAGACAAAATAACGGTAAATTATACTGATGTCGGTTTTAGCGAAAAAGAAACTGAATATGATGCTATGTTTTGAATAGCAAACACAAACTAATGTCTAGAGTTGGGTCTATATTTACAATACCGACAGATAGATAGATAGATAGATAGATAGATAGATAGATAGATAATGAGAGAAGGAAACGCGTGTATCTGATCGCTTTATTCGAGAAGAAAAAGATTAAAACATTACATTGTGATCCTCTCAGCGACCTCTGGTGGCGGCAGAAATGCGTTCTGTCGGCTACAATAAAGCTATACTGAACCCTGGTGGGGAAGGAGACGAAAATAAAAGAGCTGGGTCGGATGGGATTCGGATCTGATGGGTAGGTGGTGCTAAGGGTGTGAAGAGGGAAGGGCCCAATTTTGCCAGCGTTGGCGCGTTCAGCCAGCACGTGATAGGTCAGACTACCAATCATTGGTCACTGGTTTCTCTGGAGTTAATACAAGCCTTTATATTCTTTGTCTGCAATTGTTGTCTTTGTTTGTTTACCGAATTGTATGTTAACGATATATATATATATATATATATATATATATATATATATATATATATATAACTAGATGAAATTTGTGAAGTAACACGTGCGGGAGGCAATGTCTTTTTGCTTACTTGCCAGAGTCTGATGAATAACTTACTAGCAATTCAGAATCTGGGGTGGGCCGTCCAAAAAGTAGCCGGTTGTTGAACAGAATAAATAATAGACAACTTGAAAGTGTTGGTTTCTCGTTTTGAAATAACCAGAAATATTTGAAGGCAATGTTGAAAGATATAGACAAAAAAAAAACCCCAAAAAACCCAGAAAGTGAAAATGAGAGAGAGAGAGAGAGAGAGAGAGAGAGAGAGAGAGAGAGAGAGAGAGAGAGAGTGAGTGAAAAAAAAGAGAGTGAGAGAAAGAAAGAGAGACAAAATGAAGAGAGAGCGAGAGAAAGAGAAAGTGAGAGAGAGTGGAGTGGGAGAGAGAGAAAGAGAGGGAGAGAGAGAAAGAGAGAATGAGAGTGAGAAAGACTGAGAAAAAGAAAGAGGTTGAGAGAGAGAAAGAAAGACTCAGAGACAGAGTGAGAGTGCGAGAGTGTGAGAAATAGTGAGAGATAAAGGAGAGTGTGAGAGAGTGTATGAGAGAATGAAAGAGAGAGTGAAAGAGATAGTGAGAAAAAAAAAGAGATAGTCAGAGAGACAAAGAGAAAATATATTTTTCAATGAACGACAGAGCCAAAAAAACAACAAGGGAAAGAAACAGTAACAGAAACGGAGAAAGACTCCTTTCAATCGTGTGATTGAAAGGAGTCTTTCTCCGTTTCTGTTACTGCTTCTTTCCTTTGAGATTGATTCATTTTTTACAGTTTATCAACCTTATGCATGTTATTTAAAGGCAGAAAATATTTTAGGATCGTAAGAATGTTTTGAAGATAATAATGATATACGTATATAAATCCTACTAATTAATCCCGGAAAAGGAGAGAAAAGGAGGATTCAAACCTTTCCCAAGAGTTTTTCCACGTAAGTCAATATAACGAACCCGACTTGAATTGAAACTCGGCTCTTTGTTTTACAGTTCAGTGTCGTTCTCCATTAAACAACCAAACATCCAAGCTTACAGCATCTGGTATTCCCAAGTGGTCACCCATCTTGGTACTGGCCAGGCTTGAAGTTGTTTAACTTCGGATATCTTAGGACAATCGGTGTTTCAAAGTGATATGACAGTAGGCCTAAGGAAAGAGAAAGGAGATAGTTAGGGAAAAATAAAAAGTAATCGAAAAAGAAGGAGTAATAAGTCGAGAGAAAGAGAGCTGTCGAAAGTAAGAGAGAGAGACGAGGAGTTAAAGAGAGAAAAGATGAGTGAAAAGGATAAAAAGAAAAAGAGAATATAATATATATATATATATATATATATATATATATATATATATAGAGAGAGAGAGAGAGAGAGAGAGGGAGAGAAGTAAAAAGAAAAGGAAATGAAAAAAAGAAAGAAGGAAGAAAGATACTGATTTATACTTTTTATGTTTTTCCTGGTTTCGTTTTATTCTCAACTATCTTTTAATATGTGTTATTGGTAAGGATTTTATTAGATTTCTTTTATTTTTGCTGGTTTGATTGGTTAATTGGTTATATACGATTTATTAAAAAAAATGGAAGCATGTTTTTAAATCACCCCCCCCCACCTAAACAAGGCAATACAGCCACTACCACGCATAAGAATCAAACATCCAACATTAATAAAATGCTATTATATTTAGCAGCAAATATACTTAAGACGTTTTATTAAAGTAAAACTATATCAAGATATCTCATTTGAAGACGCAAAGATTGGTTGAGAGATTTTGTTTAGCGGCATATCAACATCTCTGTGGGTTATTTTATGCCGAAATCTAAATATTTTAAACGAAACTTTATTCCTTCAGTTACAGATAAAATGTATTGTTGGCCATTCTCCTATAAAATATATCGTTGGTAATTTTGTTTAAAAAATCTACTGTTGATAATTTTACTATAAATAGGTATTGTTGGTAACTTTGTATAAAAATGTATTGCTGGTATTTTTACTATAAAAATTATTTTTATATTTTCATAGTTTTTCGTATTTGCATAGGAGTTCACTCTTTACCCATAGGTGGGACACTAACAGAAGCTATGTCGGGTCAGGGTCAGGATAGACCTGGAAACAACAGCAATTAAAAGCTAGTTTCACGCTCCTCAACAACTCCAATCTTTCAATCAGAGGCCTTGCTGCTGGATGTAGTTTATCGTCATACCCAGAAGACACAAAGAAGAGACATTTGAAAATTATGAATCTGACATAGGGCATAAAACAAAACCTTTTTGATAATAGCTAGGGAAAGCTGAACGTTTTCTGACACTGGGCAATTTATATTTAAATATGTAACGGAAAAAAAGCCCTAAAAAATCTTTTATTGGTCTTCAAACAAATTTGTATAAATGAAAAACTGTTTCTTGAATATACCCATTTTATTCTAAGTTGTTATCACTGATGATGGTGATATTTCATCATCCCAGAAATAAAGATCTGAAATTTCATCATTCTAAAGACAACCTTTCCACCTGTGATGGATGATTCATGATGATGATGACATTTCATTATAAAAACGACCCTTCCACCACAAGCAAAAGAGCAGTAGTAAAAGGAACATCACAGACAAGACGTATCTTCACTCCTCGAACATCCAGAGTTGGCGGTTTCAAAGGCTTCCCCTAACCACAAAATTCTCGGAGCAATTATAAACAAGTAATCCCAAATTTTAACGAAACAAAAAGAGACAATAACCCTGAGAATATTTAGCACATAAAAACAATATATTGAAGAACATCATGGAAAGAAAAATACACATTCTTGTCATTAATTTCAACACGTGTCTCAAAGTCTTATTGTTGTACGTTATTGTTGTACGTTTTATTAATTTCATTTTCAGTATAAAAAAAAGAGAAAAGAAATCCTCTATCAACTACTAATACATGTAACACAGGATAACTTACAGTGACAACTTAACATTTGATCCCGTTAAAAAGTTTTGTAAACATCACTAGTGATAATATAACGCGGAAATTTAAACAAACACAACTTTCTCGCCTGTTTTGTTAGTATATTTTGGGGGCTTTTGAAATGAACCATTTTCCTATTCCAATGCGAATTCGGTTTTCAATGTCCCATTTTCCATCATCAACACTTACTAAATATTTAAACTTCTTTACTTGTTTGATTATGACATCTCCAATTCGTACACGAGCTGAAAAATGTTAGAGATATCAGTAGGTTTTCGTGTACGATGCGATTTCGTTTACAATACGACTCTCTATTTTTACATTTTTTAAAATAAGTAAAACGCTTCCATGTTATATTCATGAGTAAGTCTATCGTCACATTAATATGGGATGTGTGAAGCGATCAGTTTGTACGATGTATCGTCTTATTTTTAAGCCGATTTAAATTGTCACTAGAAACTTCAAACTTGGATATATTTAGCTGCTTAAGGTAAAAGCAACGATAAAGGGTGTCTGTCACGAAAATATATCCAAAGATCATATTACTTATTTAGGAAAAATAATGCCACACTAATCGTTCCCGACAAGCAAAAAAAAAAAAAAAAAAAAAGAAAAAAAAAAAAAAAAAAAAGAAGAAAAAAAGAAAAAGAAGAAAAAAAAATGAAAAGAAAAGGAAAAAAAAGGAAAAAAGAAAAAAAAAGGAAAAAAAGAAAAGAAAATGGCAGTTTTAGAGTAGGGGCTTTAAATAAAGACTAAAAAAGAATTATATGAGTAAATAAAATAGCTATTTCCGTGTATCAATTGTTAGCAGAACAGTTAAGAATAAACTAGAAATGTACACTACTCGTACGGATCCTCCGTGGCGTTAATAGACTTCCCCGTGGAGTATAAGGTGTATAGGGCGACGGAAAACATGTCCAGAGCCTCTTTACGTTAGCTGTTGCTGTCATTTTCGTGGCAAGACTACTTTTTTACGGGGCTGAGAGGACAGCTACACGGGCAACTGGTTTTGATTTCAGAGAAGTGTTGCTAACCAAGTCTAGAGAACCCGGGCCTGTCCTGGGGGGAAAAGAGGAATACTCGTATTTTCAGAGGGTACTTCTAGGAAATTGAATGTAACGAATCCTACCGGAATTTGAAATCGGCACGCTGACGTGAGGTTTAAACGGCCTATTGACGATGACTGGAAACGAGCCACAGTTTCAGGGTGAGAACGCATAATCTGGCGCGACAAAGTCTATTGAACAAGATCCGTACGTGCAATCGTTATGATAAATTTTGAATTCGCGCCAACCCACCGATGGGGGTATTCCGAACAGATCCAAAAACACAGTACCCCTTACAAGGCTTGATTTAACCCGGGGTATCATTTTTCAGGCACGCTCAAATTGTGCCATAAGTTGGTTGACGTTATCAAGAAGTCAGTTCCTTTACAAATCGGCTCTGGTGAGATTTGAACAGGAACGCTAGGGCTCCAAAAGAACTGCCACATTTGTTACTAATAAATTGGAAGAGAATTGTATAAAATAATTATAGTTAAGATGCAATTTGCTCAAGGAATTTGAGTCCACAATGTTTCTCACACATATTTGAATAATATGTTACTTCAATGCAAGTGACACGAATCTAACCTATAAGAAATAGTCAAGCACAACATACCATTAATCTGCATCCTTTGCTTTTTATCATTTTAATCTTGATCTCTGACGAAGTTTTAATATAGTGAAACATGTTATATATATATATAACATCATATACAATTTTAATACAAATATCATATATGCAGAGTATAAAAGTGGACATTGTAGTCAACACCCAGAGCATGAAACAGACTGTTGTTTCTGGTTGTTGACTTCAATGTCCATTTTTATAATTATAAACGCTCTACTCCTGATTTTGAGAAATATAAATATATTACACATCAATACTATCGTTTATCATATATATATATATATATATATATATATATATATATATATATATATATATATATATATGTATACACGCGTACCTAGAATAAATCTGTCTTATATAATGCAACATAATATAAAAAAAGATTGATACAAATATTATATATATATGGAACAGTGTTCCTTGGTTTATATATATATATATATATATATATATATATATATATATATATATATATATATGTATCAGTTAATATATATTTATATATATGTCAATCTATACATTTATATATATATACACATTTATATTGATTGATAGATAGAAATAATTATATAATGTTTGTATTTATCATTTTCTATGTCTATCTATCTATCTATCTATCTATCTATCTATCTATATATATATATATGTGTGTGTATATATATATATATATGTGTGTGTATATATATATATATATATGTGTGTGTATATATATATATATATATGTGTGTGTATATATATATATATGTGTGTATATATATATATATATGTGTGTGTGTATATATATATATATATATATATATATATATATATATATATATATATATATATATATCAGTTGATATATTTATATATGTCAATCTATACATTTATATATATATATTATTTATATTGATTGATAGATAAAAATAATTATATAATGTTTGTATTTATCATTTTCTATGTCTATCTATCTATCTATCTATCTATGTGTGTGTGTATATATATATATATATATATATATATATATATATATATATATATGTATTTAGGATAAATTTGTATTTTGAGTCATTGACCGAATAAACGTTCTGTTTGCGGATATTTATCCGAGGATAAATGCATAAAATATGGATGATCTAAAGATGGACTCATTTCCATTTCGAGGCAATAACGATTCACTGAAGTCTCATGAATATCTTATAGCAGGCAAAACTCTTGAACTAATCTTTGTATGGAAATGTGTTTCACCATGTCAAGAGTGAATGATTACCAGTGTCGAAAAGAAAACACATAAACCGGTGTGGTTTTTTTTGGCATTTAGCTTTTTACCACTTTTACAACTCAATATCATTTGACAGTGAAGGAAATAAATAGAGGAAAAGGGTTCTCTTTGCCTGTCATATGCTTACTCCTTACCTGATTTTATGTGAATCTAACCGCCGCGTCATACACGTTTATAAATAAAAACTTGTGCGGTGTAATATTCTGTCGATATATATTTTTAGCTTTGTTCCCATGCAATAAGAAATATGTCATCAAATAGACAAAA